TGGGATATTACAAACAGGGGTCTCATGACCCAACATTCAGAGCATACAAATCAAAGCACATGCGGAAGCTTAACATGTCTGAGTACAGACATCTAGAAATGAAAATGGCTGAGAAGCCTGACTATCTACCAGATCCTGCCGAGGGCACAAGATCGTAGCTGAGGTAACAAGCTAAACGTCGAAGACCACGCGGAACTACTAGCGAGACTGAAGTCTCTCTGCAAAAGCATAAATTAAGCAACGTGAGTACAAATGTACCCAGCAAGACTTACATCAGAACTAACTACATATGCATCATTATCAACAAAGGGGATGGTGGGGTTTAACTGCAGCAAGCCAGCTTTGACTCGGTGGCTATCCTGAACTACGACTGCAAGTAACTCTTTTGAGGTGGCGCACACGAGTCCACATATTCACCATATCAATACACCACTATGGATCCGCTCCCATCTCCCTACGAGAACGCCATCCATAGCACTCACGCTTATCTTGCGCATTTTAAAGTATCCACTTTCACTTGTCTATGAACTGATATAAGCAACCCAGAAGTCCTTTTCGCGGACACGGCTATTCGAATAGATGATGTTAACCCTGCAGGGGTGTACTTCTTCACACACGCTCTCACCACTTACCGCCGTTTACACGACATGTACTCGGCAACCTTCAAGCGGAAGCCCAACGTGGGTGTCGGCCACGGCCTACCTAAACACTCAAGTCTCTAGTCCAGGTTTATCGCCTATTCGGGTTCCATCCATGAGGAGATCCGGCTGGAGTTTCGCTCACAGCCCCAAACGATGTGTGCAGGGTTCCCGAGACACCAAACGGGCGCCCGGTACACCGTGCCACGTGCCTACCGCATCACAGCCCACCCCTCCGGTCAGCGCTGCCCACGGCCTCCAGCATACTACAAACACCAGAAACTACTTGCAACTCCTGGACAGAGGACAAGGGTGATTAAGAAGCCGGGAGGGTCCATTGGTTTCGGGCCCAATGCGTGGTAGTAGCTGAATCATGGATCACAAACACAGAACTCAGTTCCTGAGGACGGCTGCAATGAGACAACCCACCATGTACTCCTACATGGCCTCTCACCGCTACCTTTACCAAATCGTATTCGCACACTTAGCTCACACACAGTAGGACATGTTCACACACCTCTGATTCATCCCCGATGAATCAGACCTGACTCAACTCTAAGCAGTAGCAGGCATGACAACAAGCATGAATGAGTAGGCACAACAGGGCTCAAACAACTTCTACTCATGCTAGTGGGTTTCATCTATTTACTGTGGAATGACAGGTCATGCAAAGGATAAAGGGGTTCAGCTACCGCAGCAAGTAACAGTTGAATCATTGTTGTCCTAATGCAGTAAACGAGAGCAGAAGCGAGAGAGTGGGATTGTATCGGAATGAACAAGGGGGTTTTGCTTGCCTGGCACTTCCGAAGATAATATAGCTCTCCATCAGTGTCATCGATCTCATCGTCGAAACCACGTCTATCGAGAGGGAACAACCACCAACAAACAAGAAGAAACACAATCAATGCAATGCAACAATATGATGCATGATAATGACATGGCAATATGCCGGTGTTTTGAGCTAATGCACCTAGCTATGATTTAAATGAAGTTGGTTTGAATACATGATTCAAACTCCAACTCCATATATGATTATTTAAATGCCCTTTATTTGTTTTGTCCAAAACAGAGGACAAACATTGTTCAAACATGCTTGAAAATGGTACAGATGGATTCCTTGAATTTTTCTGATAATTTTTCATATATAAATTATTTCATTCTGACTTACGGTTGATTTTCTATGATTTATTGAAGTTTTGGGCATTTTCTGAAATTTCCTGAATAATAATAAATCCAGAAAATGATTTATGGCGTCAGCACCACGTCACTGTGACGTCAGCAGAGTCAACTAGGCGCCCCAGGTCAAACCTGACGTGTGGGGTCCACACGTCAGTGACACAACTAACTAACCGTGTTAACTAGTGTTAGGTTAAGCACTAATCTAGGTTAATTAGCACTAACTAAACCTAACTAATAACTAACAGGGATGGGTCCACATGTCAGCGACTAAGTGGGTTAACTAAAAGTTAGTTAGCGCTAAGCTAAAATTAGCAGGGCTCTGGGCCCACCTGTCAGTGACACAGGGGTTAATTAGCAGGGTCATTTGCCCCTAACGATGGCGCCACGTCAGCACGTCGGAGACCAGCCGACGGCGACCACAGAACACGGCGGGGGCACGCCGGACTTGCGCTAGGGGCGTCGGATTGGCGCGCTGAGGGCACCAGGGCATAGCCCTCGCTCTTGCGCATCCAGAGAGCCAAATGGGAGGGGTTGGGGTGGATCGAGCTCGCCGGAGTCGAGCTCGTGGCGGCGGCCGGTGTTCGGGAGCAGCCGAGTATGGTGCTAGAGGGCACGGGAGGCGGAGCTACTGGTAGCTGCAGGTTCGTGGAGGCGCGCTGAGCACACTGGTGTGCTCTGATACGGGCTGTAGTGCCCATGGCCTCGTCTGCACCATCACCGGCAGCGAGGAGCTCGTGGCTTTGGTGGAAAAGGCGGCTGGAGGAGGAGAACTTCGGCGGGGAGAGAGGGGTTCGGAGCGGGGGCTCACTGTGAGGTTGCAGAGCAGGTCGGCGTGCTCGGGGAGGCGGCGGAGACGGCGAATCGACAAACGGCGTCCGGCGGCCGTGCGTGGAGAAGACGGGTCGCTGGCGAGGCAGCAGGGCATCCGACGACGCGTGTCTCAACGGAGAGGTAGCAGGGAACTAGGCGGAGCCGATGGACTCTCTAGTAGGGCGAAACGACGGCGGTGGCTGCGGTGGTAGTGGACGGCGGCGGCGGCAGCGGTCGGGCGAGAGAGGGAGAGATCTAGGGAAGGGGGTGAGAGCGCGGGAGAGTGAGGGAGAGAGGCAGGGAGGTGCGTGGCGCTCGGGGGAGGCGTCCAGAGCGTCGAGGAAGGAGAGCGGCAAGCAGGAGGTGGCTCGGCGCGTGCCGGCGTGCGGTGGCCACACGCCTCGCGTCCTTCTGGCGCGAGGTGGGAGACGGTGGCGGTTCGATGGGCTGGGCCGCTGGAATTGGGCCAGGTGGGCTGAGAGGTGAGCGCCAGGTAGGGTTTCTCTCCTCTCTGCTTTTCCTATTTCTGTTTTTTTATTTATTTTGTTCTGTGTTGTTTTAGTTTAGTAAAATACTAAACCATTTTATAAAATCCTGAAAATAGTTATGTGGCTAGAACTAAAATATACCAAACCACATAAAATGTTCCAGTATTATTGGACATATATTATTTATATATCAAATATATATCCAATGCAAATAGTTATTGAATTAATTCAAAGGCCCAAAATAAATGTTTCGGTCACTCCAAAAATATTGGTTTGCATTTTATTCTTGCCAATATTTTTTCATAGCTGAAAAGGAACATTTCCTTGGAAACATTTGAAGCAATTTTTAATGTTGATCATCATTTTTTTAAATGATTTCTGAGGCTCTCCAATTCCCCAATTCAAATTTAAAGAAATTTAGACATGATGCATGGATGCAATGCCACTAGTTACAAGCAAGCTCTAGGGCTGTGACAGTAGAGTATTCAACCCAAATTTATTGATTCGACACAAGGGGAGCCAAAGAATATTCTCAAGTATTAGCAGCTGAGTTGTCAATTCAACCACACCTGGAAACTTAATATCTGCAGCAAAGTGTTTAGTAGCAAAGTAATATGATAGTAGTGGTAACGATAGCAAAAGTAACGGTAGCAAAAGTAATGTTTTTGGTATTTTGTAGTGATGATAACAATAGCAATGGAAAAGTAAATAAGCGAAGAACAATATATGGAAAGCTCGTAGGCAATGGATCGGTGATGGAGAATCATGCCGGATGTGGTTCATCATGTAACAATCATAACATAGGGTGACACAGAACTAACTCCAATTCATTAATGTAATGTAGGCATGTATTCCGAATATTGTCATACGTGCTTATGGAAAATAACTTGCATGGCATCTTTTGTCCTACCCTCCCGTGGCAGCGGGGTCCTAATGGAAACTAAGGAATATTAAGGCCTCCTTTTAATAGAGTACCGGACCAAAGCATTAACACATAGTGAATACATGAACTCCTCAAACTACGGTCATCGCCGGGAGTGGTCCCGATTATTGTCACTTCGGGGTTGCCGGATCATAACACATAGTAGGTGACTATAGACTTGCAACATAGGATCAAGAACTCACATATATTCATGAAAACATAATAAGTTCAGATCTGAAATCATGGCACTCGGGCCCTAGTGACAAGCATTAAGCATAGCAAAGTCATAACAACATCAATCTCTAAACATAGTGGATACTATGGATCAAACCCTAACAAAAACTAACTCAATTACATGATAAATCTCATCCAACCCATCACCGTCCAACAAGCCTACGATGGAATTACTCACGCACGGCGGTGAGCATCATGAAATTGGTGATGGAGGATGGTTGATGATGACGACGGCGACGGATTCCCCTCTCCGGAGCCCCGAACGGACTCCAAATCAGCCATCCCAAGAGAGTTTAGGGCTTGGCGGCGGCTTCGTATCGTAAAACGCAATGAATCTTTCTCTCTGATTATTTTCTCCCCGAACACGAATATATGGAGTTGGAGTTGAGGTCGGTGGAGCTCCAGGGGGCCCATGAGGCAGGGGGTGCGCCCAGGGGGGCAGGCGCGCCCCCCACCCTTGTGGCTAGGGTGTGGGCCCCCTGGCCTTGATTCTTTGCCAGTATTTTTTTATTATTTTCAAAAATAATCTCTGTGGAGTTTCAGGTCATTCCGAGAACTTTTGTTTCTGCACATAAATAACACCATGGCAATTCTGCTGAAAACAACATCAGTCCGGGTTAGTTCCATTCAAATCATGCAAGTTAGAGTCCAAAACAAGGGCAACAGTGTTTGGAAAAGTAGATACGACGGAGACGTATCAACCCTCAACCCCTCCTCTTTCCAGCAGCCATGGATGAACTCCACCCCCTTTGTCACCCACTCCTAATCCTCTCTTTCCCGCAATTGTTGAAGAAGCTACAACCGGCCAGGGAAAAAGTTGCATCCACACTCGGAGGTGTTGGAACCAGCCAGGGAAAAAGCTACGACCACTTCAATCGGAGGTGTTGGAACCGGCATATTTTTTTGCTGGAACCGGCTGTTCTTTTTGCTTCAAGCTGACTATTGTAGTTTGTTTTGCGGGATTTTGCTGGAGCCGCGTTAATTTCTGCTGGAACTGCCTTTTTCTTTTGCTTCAACTTGACCATGGTAGTTTTTGTTTCAGAGATTTTTTGCTGGAATTGGCTTTAATTTTTGTTAGAACTAGCTAAAATTTTGTTGCTATGGCGACGGCGACGGGAAACATCTGTGTTTTTTTTGTTGGAACCGGTGTTTTGTTTTGCTGCCACTGACCGTATTTTTTGTTGCCACCTAGGACGACCAGATTTTTCTGCTGGGTTCTTTCTTTTGTGTTGGAAATGGTGGTGCATGCCTATGGCGATGAGCGAGGGGAGGCTGTTGCAACCATGGCGGTCGTGTGCTCGAACGGGCCGGTGAGAGAGTTGCAAATCGTCAATGGAAGGGAGTTTGGGACCCAGAGGAGGTCATGCCGTAATCCCGGTGGCTGTGTGGCGAGCGGCGGCAAGCTGGTTGTGCCGCCATGGCTCGCGACGGAGCTGCAGTAGGGGCGGGGACTCGAGCGCTGCAAGATGGGTGGACGGCCGCGCACGGCGAGGTGGACGGCGTGCGATGCAGTAGAGACGAACGAGGGAAGAAGATCGGGGTTGCAAAGGGATGCTTTGACTTCATCTAACGATCACACGCGGGCCAATCTGACAGTTGGTGTTTGACAGGCCCAAAGTTGAGCCAGCGGACCGGCGCCTACCAGCGCCCAAAATATTTATATATTTTTCCAGAAACTTGGTCAGACTTTATGAAATTTGACTTTAGCCAAATCTAATATCAAAGTAAATAAAGAAGGAGGGAGTATATGTCCTGAGACTCTCGGACCAAAAATGCTACACACACGGGTTAAATCAACAGGCTTTTACGGATATGCTGATTTGTCCTTTTCTAATTGGGCTAATTAACCTTTCCTCCTAATTAATCGGGCCCCCCTATTCTAATTTGTGGGGGTGGGTGCCAAGCCCCGTAAAGCCCCGTATTAGTCTGTTGATGTAACAAAGCTCCTCTCGGACTGGGACGAGACTTGCCTGCTCCCCCGCCGTGCGCCCATCCGTATTTCCGCATACGTGACATGATTTGATTGAAATAAAATAAGGCCCGGCCCCATCTCTTTAAAATCAGGGGGAAAGATGATTAGATTAGAAAGATGAAACTCATGGGCACTAGCACCCATGGTTTATTGATATAGGAGAAGCATCCCTTGTGAGAAACCAGAAATTCGTCCCCGACGTGGCTCGAACCCTGGTTGCTGAAGACGCCATGCGCTCCCTTGCCACTAGGCTACAGCCTAGTTCTCGATTAGATTAGAAAGAAAAAAGAGAAAAAGATAGTCGTAGGGTTGAGTGGGAGTACGGATGGGAGCATGAGGAGGGAACAGGCAAGCCGGATCCCTCCGACTGAGCCAGCCCCTAAAAATGGAAAATTGCAAATTGCCCGTGCGCTTGCTTACGCCGTGCAATTGAGTACAGCCGGGCCAAACAAGGTCTCTTTTCATTCGTCAACACCTGAAATTACACTCTGCTTCGCGTTCCAGCACTAGCTTTCTCTACAGAATTGCATGCACAGACATGTTAGCCGATAAAGAAATGCATAGACATGGAGATCCGAGCCTCGCGAGTGGAGTGCGCGCTAAGATAAGCACTCGCTCGCGACCCATCAAGCAGTGCCATGCCAATCCATGGCCAAAAGCTTAAGCCAATGGAGTGAATTCCAAGAAATAGGAGGGCTCGAGATAATTTCCACACCATTGGCACCGTGTGCTCCGCTTCGTTCTTTGCTTGCCGCGCCGGTGGATGTCCATTGATCCGCCGATGGAGGCGTTCTTCTGCCTGGCGCGGTGCCGGTTCAGTCGGCTTATGGTGGTGATGCAGCTGGTGATGGGCGTGTTCGTCATCTGCATCAGCATGGCCAACCTCCACCGCTTCTACACCACCGACTCCTTCCTCCCGGGCCTCGACGACTCCGCCAACTGCGCCAGGCTCCACACCGTCGCCGCCGCCGACGGGTACGCCGGCTTCGACATCCGCGCGCTGGCCGACCGCGTCGACGACGTGCTCGTCCAGCTCGCCGAGCTCCAGGACAAGCTGGAGGCCACGGCGCTCAAGATCGGCAAGAAGACCAAGAAGAAGGGCAAGGCGCACGGCAAGCAGGAGAACATGACCTTGCCGGAGTTCAGGCGGTTCCTCGAGGACGAGGTCATCCACCCGCTCTACGGCGCGCACATCTCCCTGCGCCTGATCCGCATCCCCCGCCCCGACCCCGACGGCGGCGGCGGCGACGACGACGCCCCGGTCGTCGACCCGCTCGTCAACTTCTTCATGGCGGAGGAAACGCGCAAGTACGTGACCACCAAGGGCAACCGCGAGGGCCGGCCCAACGTGTACGGCACCAACCGGACGTACGGCAGCATCGGGCACGCCTGCGTGCTGATGCGGCGGGAGCTGGACGAGTACATGAGCTACGACGTCGGCTCCTACTGCCCGGACGACTGGGACCTGGGCCAGCGCCTCATGCTCGGCGGCTGCGACCCGCTGCCGCGCCGCCGCTGCCTCGCCCGGGCCTCCAAGCTGTTCCAGCGCCCGCTGCCCATCAACGAGTCGCTGTGGAGGCTCCCCGACGACGGCAACGTGCGGTGGAGCCGCTACCACTGCCGCGGCTACCGGTGCCTGTCCGCCAGGAACCCGCGGCCAGGGTACAGCCGGTGCGTGGGGTGCTTCGACATGGACCGGGAGAAGCGGCGGTGGGTCAACGACACCAGCCGCAACGCGTCCCTGGCCGACTTCCGCATCGACGAGGTGCTGGCGGTGAAGCCCGGCGAGGTGCGGATCGGGGTGGACGTGAGCGTGGGCACGGGCAGCTTCGCGGCGCGCATGCGGGAGCGCGGCGTGACCATCGTGTCGGCGGCGCTCAACCTGGGCGCGCCGTTCGCGGAGACGGTGGCGCTGCGGGGGCTGGTGCCGCTCTACGCCACCATGAGCCAGCGGCTGCCCTTCTTCGACAACACCATGGACATGGTGCACACGGCGGGCTTCTTCGAGGGGTGGGTGGACCTGCAGCTGCTGGACTTCGTGCTCTTCGACTGGGACCGCGTGCTCCGCCCCGGCGGCCTGCTCTGGGTCGACAGGTTCGCCTGCGCGCGCAGGGACCTCGACGACTACATGTACATGTTCCTGCAGTTCAGGTACAAGAAGCACCGCTGGGTCGTCTCCTTCAAGTCCAAGGACGAGGTCTATCTCTCCGCTCTCCTCGAGAAGCCGCCCAGGTCATGATCATTCATGATCGATCCATCAACACTTTCTTTCTTGTCTTCAGCTGGCTCGTGTGTTATTAGTACTTTCTTTCTTGTCTTCGATTTGTTGCGTCTGCTGAAATTCTTACTAGTTATACGATTCAATCTAATAACATGATGGTGAATAAAAAGGCAGCAGTGATACACTTCTTTTTTGAAACTAGGCGCGTGCCGGTGCGTTGCAACGGGAACATGAAAATTTTCATGTTTACACTACTATAGAGTGGATTAAACTAACACCTACTATTGTAGTTTCGACGTACTATATTTAGTAGGTTCATGCATGAAACCCAAGCTGATGTGCTCATGCATGGAACCCAAATAATGGACGCCAAAGAAACAACAATTGCAACCATGTGCATTCAGTAAAAGAAAAAATATTCTCTAAGATTATCCTTTCGCGGACCAAAACATGCAGCGTAGTCAAACGAGAGAAGTTTAAATGCGTGGATGTCTCCCTCATGACACTCACCCATGGAAAACCTAATCCCATCGGTCGAGCGGTCGGTGGGAACCACACTCCGCCATCCTATCGACACCATCTCGGAGAACACCGTTGAGGTGGAGGATCCCGCATCGGACTTACTCGCCGAGAGGGTTCCTTGTCTTTCCTCTCGACCCTTTCTCTCCAACTTGTGTATCTTTTATTTTTGAATAAGAAAAATCCCCAGCTTGTTGGTTTGTTTCTCTGCCAAATGAAATGCTCTGCATTTTCTGTTGATCCGGCTGTTGCAAAAATTCCGTTTCATTTCACCTATACATGGGACATAACTCTTCGGTTGAAGCAATGCGCAATTACAACGCGTTGATGGATGGATGGAAACATGGAGTACCACAAAACAACAATGGTCTAAGGTAATGCAGATCTATCTTGTAAACAAATGCAGTGCGATGTGAGAGGGTATAATCTGTGTATACACAGGGAATGGAAAATCTTAATCCTAACTAAAATTAAGAAAAGGGAAACCAGTTTGATCCATTCTCCTGGATGCTACGTAAGATCCAAATCCGTCTAGCATATGAAAGAACAAGGTAATTTGGTCAAGAAATACCAGCAATTTGTATATATCAATGTAGTGTTGTATATGGGACTGTAGGGAGATCTCTCCACTGTTGTTGTTCAGGAATTAGTGGCACGTCGGCCCAGCGCACTCAACGTCGCCATCCTACTTATTCATTGTTTTTTTCTTTTTTCTTCTCGGATGTTTCTATTCTTTCTTTTTCTCCTTTTTTGTTTTTTCATTCTTTTTCATTTGTTTCTTCGATTTTTTTTCCTTTTGGTTTATTTTCTTTCTTTTGGGGGGTTTATTTTTAGGTTTTCTTTGTTTATTTTAGTTTTCATTATAAATTTATTTTATATGTCAACAACATTTTTCTAATACACGTTTAACATTTGTTCAATACAAATCTAATGTTTTTTAAGATACAGTCAACATTTTTTCTATACATATTTTAAACATTTTTCAAATGCTTGATTAACAATTTTTTGAATACAAGATTAACATTTTTTGAATACATGGTCAACATGTTTCCTATATACACGTTACACGTTTTTGAAATGCTTGATTAACATTTTTTAAATACAAGATTAACATTTTCGTAATACATGATCAACATTTTTTCTATAAACATATAACTTTTTATAAATGCTTTATCAACATGTTTTGAATGCATGCTCAACATTTTTCCTATACACATTTAACATTTTTCAAATGCTTGACTAACATTTTTGAAATATTTGTTCAACATTTTTTTAAATGCTTGATTAACATTTTCATATACATAATCAAAAGATTTCATCATTTTTTTCAAGCATGGTCTATATTTTTCTATACACATTCCACATATTTCAAATGCTTGATTGCCATTTTTCAAAAGCTTGTGGACCGGAGAGCCTTTTACCTCAAGTTTTTTCACACGTGGCCCACACATTTATTTTTTCCAGTCTTGTTGTAATTGTGAGTGATTGACTGGTTTTTCCGGTGTGCTCAGTTCAGCATCATCCATGCATGTGGCTCCTGTCTCCTATCTAACAAGTCTAGTAACCAAGCTAGATAAGGAACATGCTGAGTGACCCCTATGTAACAACCGCATGTAGTATCAGCTAACTTTCCATATGCACAGCTACTGAGATCTATCACAGGACTAGTAATCATACACGTGCAAATGCACGTTTATCTAAAATAAAATTGATCCTTATTCAGTTTTCACACTGGTATAAGTGTGAACATATAATTTTAGTGATCTAAAACGTCTTATATTTGTTTATAGAGGAAGTATCTTCTATTCAAAATTATTGCTACTATAGAGATCTTATTTGAAGATGAAACCATCCAAATATATTCACACGAATTTTTTAAGGGAATATATTGGCATCGTTCACAGCAAACATCAATAGAAAAAACTCTGTATTAATGTTTCAAACGACTTAAATAACTTCCACTATACATTGGAAAACTGAAAACATGTCTATGCTTATATGGTTGACTTACAATTCCATGCATGATTTGATTCCATTGTTTGATACTCCATCCAACTCTAACTCTTCTCTATAACTGAAAATCAACCAAGCAAAACAAAAAATTGAAATGAACATTTTGAGAAACATTTTCTCCCCATTTCATTACCGAGAAAACATTTTCAGAAAGATTCCTCTCTACCAATGATTTTTTTTCTATACATAAACAACAAAAACTATCAAAGAAATTTACCAAATGTACATGGGCAACAAATCATTCCATTTGTTACTTCCTTCAAAAGTTACATCATCGATTAGTAATCAATGATGTTTGTTTCCAAGTTTTAGTTTGACAGTTTGCATACACATATTCCACTTGATTTACGACAATAGTATACAGTTTAAAATGTGGACAGTTGAAGGAATGATGTACCTAACTGACGAATCCAAGAGAAAGAACTTTAGCTCTAGTCTCATCAGCTTTGCATATTCCTTTACAATCATGTGATTAACTGCTTCCTTTCCGAGTTCAGTCCATACCACAGAAACGAAATTGTTAGTTATTTGATGATAATCGACATAATAAATAGCACACTGTACTATTACAAATGCCAATATAAAATCCAATGAATATGTAGGATGCAGGTTGGCAACTACCATGAATATGTAGGAGTGTCACAACATAAAGGTGCTACAGTGGCTCATGGAGGAAATCTGAAGAAGATAAGCATTTTGGTTTAGAAAAGAGGCGAAATATGAAGATAATCATTTTTGGTTCAAAAAAAAGAGGCAAAATTTAGAGGAGAATATTATCCAATGCAAGTAGGATGAACAATTGCATAAGCTTATCACTATTGACATTAGCTTAGTATAAGATTTAACATAGGTAGTCAATGTGGTCATTTTGGTTCAGAAGATAGCCTCAAGCTTCTAATCCAGAGCTTTGCGTACATTTACAAATAAAATATAAATAGTAATGCTAAGTGGCTAGTCATGCAAAAATATGGAAGATGGTAGAAGATACAACACATGATTGGAGATAATTTTGTTGTTTATTAGGGCAAAATATCTAAGCAAGCACAAACTATACACATGGTGTGTCAGAACGGTAGGAGCAAAAACTCACCAGTGGTCAGAGTCACCCAGCCACCCAGGCGCGTCTACTCTTCCCTTGAGCATTCAATAGTGTCGCTGCTATAACAACCTCGGCAACGTCGGTGTCCTTCTCCACCGCTTCACCTGCATCCTTCCCATGCTTCAGTGCAACTGACGAAGACCATCTCCTCTCTTTCCTAACATCGGAGGCCTGGACAAGGAGCGAGTACATGTAGGATTTTGAGGAGCAAGGCATGCTGAGCAAACAAGGTTATATAGATTACAAATTTAATATCTGGCATATTAAATCTTATATTTCTGAAGCAAGGAATCACACAAAAAAAGTATAGACAATCTTTGGCAAAAATAAGATCAGTGAAAAAATGCATGAATATGGCTGTTGGACCATACACATCATACACTACTCCCTGCAGCCAGTCGTCCAGTCCATATCCTAGTATATGCTTAAAGTAGCCACTCTTGCAAAAATAAGGACAAAAAAAGGTGATTGGGGAGTGTTTTGCTAGATTGTAAAAATTATGCATAGCAATGGAAAGTGAAACTGTAATGAGATAAAAATGGACTTAGATGAGAGGACGAAAGTAAGATGCAAATGAAGAGTGAAATAAAACAGAACCTTCTCTGTTGCCACAACTGGTTCCTCTGTTCAGTAGTGCTTTTAGGATCGTAACAACCCAACAAAAACTCCCACACTTCCCCTTTGATATTTGGGTGGACACCCTGTTCGCATAACCAAAATGAAGACAACGTCCTGGTTCAATTAATCTGAGCAGTCAGAACATGTGCATAGAGGCAATATATATGCCCCAAGGGATACTAACAAAAGCCAAGAAAATGGATAGTTGTTAAGAAGAAGAAATGCAAGGTTGAAAGGGTAGAAAATAGTGTGAAGGGATGCACCTACAGAGAGTAAAGAAGTGTCACTGATGAGAATACATGGAGTAAGCTATGCAGCAGTATATTTACCACCAATCAAGCAAGCATGATTCAGAGTCTTCCCACTGAATCTTGTATCAGATGGACAAACAAACTGATGGAGCCAGAATGTCAAAATATTCTCTGTGCAAATTCCTACAAGTTTTATTTCTCATGAATAATTATCTATCGACTGTATATGTAACAGTGTCTACTGCCCAGACCCTTTTTCAAAAAAAGAAAACTGTCAACTGTCCTGAATGTTATTTGTAGCAGTTTGACTGCAGGTGTTGTCAGTTGTCACACATGATACATGACATTTACCCTACCCGGGGTGTGAGATCGATACAATATGTCACCGAGCCAATTACGCTGCTGGTGGTGATGAAAGATAGATAGATATAACTCACCCCACGCTGTACTCTCATAATCATTCCAGCTGCGTCTAGGCAACCCTCCTCGTTGAACAGCAGCTTCCATCTCCTCGGAGGACTCAGCGTGCAGCGAGGCTGCCAAGGACAAGAAGGAAAAATCAATATAAACCAATCCATGACCAATACACACCAGTCGTTAATCTCTCTCTCTCTCTAATCATCTTTGGGGACTCTGAAATTTCATATGCATATATATAGGGATTTATGCTTCTGTTGTAATTGGGTCGCATAGGTGTTCAGACGGGAGGTAAGAGCGGTGGAGGGCAGGGGGCGGCCAGCAGGGAGGAGACCTGCGGCGAAGGGCGGCTCCGGGACGGCGGCTCGGCGACCTGCGGGCCGCGCCCGGCTGCGGGAGGAGGAACGGCGCGGGGGCGTGTGGGAGTGGGAGGAACGGCACAGGGGCGTGAGGTGGCTTAATTGCGTGGCTTGTTGGGTTAAACACAGAAGGATTATGGACCATTAAATTTTGTAGATGGACGGGTATAATTGTTTGGATCTGCCCCCTTTTTTTTATAGTGGTAGTAGGTAGATATATAGATAGTAGATAGTAGATGAAATGCGATTGTATCTGTAGAAACACTGAAGCATTTTACAGTAAAAACTGGTGCTACTTCCTCGGTAAACAGAATGCACACGCCTGCATGTACTTGTCAAAATTTACAGATTCCTCTCAACCCTCGAGCGCTCATATGGATCCAGGAGCTAAAAGACCTAAGCCTAACAATGATATCCTAGTCGAAATAATGGGGGTACGGACTACTATCGCAAAAGATTTGGTGACAAAAAAGCAAGCAAACAACGCCAAGAAACAACACAGCAAGAGCCTAACAATGTCAGGGGTCAGGGGCATTTCACGTTCCTCCCTGGCCCTCCGTAGTAGAAGTATGTGCCCCAGCGGCCGTTGGAGCCTCCCTGGATGTCGTAGCAGCCCGGGTGGTCGGCGAGGAGCTTGAGGCCGGACGCCCGGATGATGCTGTTGTCCCAGTCCACCACCTGCAGGTTCCGGAAGTAGGCGGCGCGGTCGAACCCCTCGCCGGGGAAGTGGCCGCTGCCCATCTGCGTCGCCGTGTGGGACCCCGGCGGCCGGGTGTTGACGACCTCGCCGCCGAACTGCACCATCCTCGCGTGGTGCGCCAGGTGGGTGAACAGGCCGGACGGCCAGTAGCCCACCACCACGCCCGGGCCCAGCTCCAGCCACCAGTGCCCGTGCTTGGGATCCTGAGCACCAGACCATTTCGTCATCATGCATTTGCCATGCAGATCAACCGATTCTTCTTGAAAAATGAAAATTACTGCAGTGATTTTGAAATGGCATTTACCTTCCATATCATCAGATTAATATCAAACTGCCTCCCGTTGTACACCGACTGTGGCGTGATGGCCGCGCCGACGGCGATCTTGTTGGTCGTCTGGACGAACCCGCGGCAGTTGTGGTTGTAGCACCCCGTCTCTTGGTACGCATCAGTCTGCGAAATGCACGTTTAGTTCAACTCGGCCACTAATCAGGCAAGAGGTGAAGTTTTTGTTTGTGCAAACAATACTACTTACTGTCTAGTAAGTGAAGAACCTGGCATTGCTATCTCCATACAGCTCCGGGCTGACCTGAAAATGAGATGACAAGGGTTTCATCTTTCATGTTCTTTCTGCAGATAAGTAGTACAATGATATTGTTTCAAGAATCTTTTATAGCATCATTCTGTTCATGTACCTGCCATCCAGCCTCAATGGTGTTGAGATCGTGGCCGAAGGAGCCGGAGATGACCCAGATCTGCGACAGGCTGAACTCGGATGGGTCATCTATCCTGGGTGACCACACGTTAACACTAGCTCTGGCCCCGTAGTATTTCTCTGAATTCACGTACCCAACTGCATGCTGCCTCCAAAAAACAGAGCGATGTTAAGAGCAGTAGACTCCAAGCATTATTCAGCTACTAGATACTACTATGTTTTTCAATTTGGATAGTAACTAGCTAGGTATGGTAAGTCCAATCTTTCGCTTAGGGGAAGGGGAGTGGCATAGTAACTACGCTGCTCGAATGCAGTGGATATAAGACAAAGCAACCAAGTTACTCTAATGGTTGAGTCAAAGAGCCCGTCATTCAAGACGAGTTATTTGCTCATGCATTTTGATTAGGTTAATGAAGCTTCTGCACATGTACAAATTGTTTATTTAGTTGTTCCAAACCACATGGGTTCTCTTCTTGTGTGTCTGCTGAGCATCTCTCCTCCGGAGATTAAGCTCATTGGTAAACTCGATGAAGGTACATTCAACTTGATATTCATGATAAGAATCTTATGTCTTATGCATGGCATTTATGTATGTCCACAGCTTTCTAACAGAACATTAGTCTTCATGTTTACCACTAGTGGCTTGATTAATTAATAAATTCAGACCACTGTTCTAGAGGAGAAAAAAATACAGTCAGTAACTTGGATGGAAGGTTAACACTACGCTTCAAAAGCCCAATATATTGCCTCTGGTCCTCTCCTATACCACAAATTATCTGGTTTACAAATACTCCGTTTCGAAATACTAGAACCACGTCCCTTATTTCCGGACGGAGGTAGTACAAAATAAGGGCGGTATTGGTTCTTCACGCAATGTCGCCGAGTGTGCCGACATCAGACAATGTTTATGAAGGTACTACTATTTTGATTTTAATCACAGAGGGCAACAAAATGCTCCTTTGAATACCTAATTCTAGCTCAAGATGCCCAACCGAAGCACAACTAGATGCGCAGAACAGGGAACTGAGCTATCGCATTGGCCCTTGGAATCATTTGGCTTCTCTGTTTAATTATAACCCTACCTTTGAACCAAATTCAGATTTTTGAGAACTTTGTCATTGGCTTCACAGCAAGCATAACGTGCAGAGATCTTAGTTAAATTACCAATGTGCAGGACATGTCTTGGCAAATAAACTACTCCAAAACCCAGATGAGATGCACATGCTGCCAGCTGAAACTGCACTGCCAGACAGGAGTCTGACCACCGTCCTGACTGAAATATTTCTATGCCCGAGTCGTGTAGTCAAGCAGAGGGTATCTGAACTGGCCGCACTAGTTGCCAATGGATCTAAACAAATGTTGGCCTACAGATATGAACAAAGGCAACCAGTGATCCTAGTAGCAAAGTAAAAATTAGCAATCTGGATTTTTCCCTAGTGAAGCTTCTATGGACTCATATGCAAGCAGTGACTGTCTAATTGCTGTGATTATCCTTTTCCTGAGTAGTACGGGCTTCTCTTTTGTAGCTTTTCCAGGTGCCACAAGCCCCAACACTGGAAGTTCATTCCCATATTCTTTTTACAGAGCAAACTACAGAGCTAATTTGGTTTGCTCACATTTTTTTCTTTCTCTTTCCCTTCTCCTTGGCGTAACAGTGCAGAGTTGCTGTCATCATAGGCGCATTCTACTATTTACAGACAATTTTAGACCTACCACTGGAAAAAAAGTATTTTACGGAAATGAAAAATTATATCTATGCCACTACCAAACCATTCTTTTGTTACTTTACTATGACATATTAACATTATTGTAGGTGCAAGAGTTATTTCTTTCAGTGTATTTTTATCCATGAGAATGTAGGGGAGAGGAGACAGTAGAGTGTGCAAAGCGACCAACCTCATGGCCACTGCTGGTGGAATCACGGCGAGTGGTCCGGCGTGGCGGCTTCCTGCCGTACCTCCTGAGGGAGCTGGCCCTGAGCAGATCCTTCTCCGTGGTCCGCCGCAGCGCCACCGTCCCTTCCGGGCACGCCTCGCCGGTGGCATGCCACGCCTGCACCACCGCCGCTCCAGCAATGGTGGAGTTGTAGTTCTTGGGCCTCTCCGGCGGGTCCTAGTCAAGTTAAGCATCGAACTAGCTTAGCAACACTTCTCACACGAGAGAGAGGCACAACGCTTCTCACAAAGAAGATGCTTTTAATTACCAGAGGCTTTTGTCCCTTGAGCATCGGGTGGTCGAACGCGGGCTGGAGGTGAGAGGGGACGCAGTCGATTAAATCACCATCCGGGCTCTGCAAAACATAAAGCAAGCATTTCCATTGTAACCACAAACAAACAGATGGAGAGAAGAATGCGCAGTGCAGAACTAGTTTCACTTTGAGGTATACAGATGGTGACCTTGATGGTGTTGAGGGGGGGCTTGTTGAGCCTGCCGAGGAGAGCCCTAACCCTCCTCCGGTGCTTGAGCGGCTCCCGCCCTGGCCTCAGGCTTGCGGTGGCGTTGCCGGTGCTGTGCCCGGAGGTGGCCACTGCGGAAGTGGAGGAGAGCAGGAGGAGGAGGAGGAGCAAGGGAACAAAGTGGAAACTCCAAGCCATGCTTCCGCGGCTTGTCCGCTTGTGTGTATCTATCTAGTTCTAGTCGCGGTCGCGCCGGAACCGGAGCGGGGAACCGAGGATGGTGGTAGTAAGGCCATCTTTGGCTCCTCAGGGGCGCTTAAAATTGTCGTCTGAGGGTGAGTCGGTGTAAAAATTAGGTCTAAGAGCGAGTTGGTCCCCAGCCGCCGGCCCCAGGGTCGTTCCAGGCACGTTTTAAAATAATAAAAAGCTCGGCGAAGTTCGGCTTAAACACGATAAATTTCGGCCAAACACGATAAATTTTGGCACATTTCGGCGAAGTTCGCGGATTTTCATTACATAGCACATATACATAAACTAATCTAAAGGAAAAAGCGGCTGAAGTCGCCGTCGTCGCCGCCATCGTCGTCGTCGGCCTTCTCCTCCTTGACGCGGGCGCCTCTGCTGGACCCCTGCCCGGCGTCGCCATGGCGGACTGGTGGCGGCGCATCGTCGTCGTTGTCGCTGTCGCAGATGACGATGATTCCGCCTTCGTCGCGGCCGCGTCGACGCTCCGCGAAGCGAAGCAGGGCGGCGCGCTGGCGCTCCTTCGCCTTCTCCAGGCGCTCCTTCTCCATCGCTATGGAGTCCCTGCGCGCCCATTCCAGGGGCGCGTCGTCGTCGTCGAGCTCCGTCGTCACCGGCGTGGCCGGTTCCTTCTTCACCGGCGCGGCCGGTTCCTTCTTCACCGGGGCGAGCCCCGGCTCCGTCTTTGGCTTGACGAAGCGCGGAGGAGGAGCCGGCGAGTAGGCGCGCCGGCCCCCTCGTTGATGACGATGCCGGCGCTGCGAGTGCGCCGGCCGAGCGGCGTCTCCGCCGCGGGCTCGGCCTTGACGCCGAGCAGGGCCGGAGTGCCGGAGGAGTGCGATGAAGATCGGGAGGAGGAAGAAGAGGAGGAGGACCCGAACCTCCTTGGCGCCCATGGCCCGGCGCGTCGGTGCTGCGCCGGGGCGGCCGCCCTCGCCGGGTACGCCAACGGCGGGTCATTGCCGCCCTCGAGGTACGTCAGCACGCCCTCGAGTGTGCGGCCGGGGACGCCCCACCACAGGTGGCGACCCTCGCTGTTCTGCCGGCCGCCAACCACCGGCGCGCCATTGATGGACGCCAAGCGCTGCTGCTGGCGGCGCTCGAAATACGCCGCCCAAGCCGCGTGGTTGTCGGCTGCGTACTGGGGAAGGGAGAGTTGGGCGTCGGTGAGGGAGGCGCGCACGACCTCGACTTCCTCAGCGAAGTACTTCGGCTTCGCCATGGCGTCGAGCAACGTGGGAATGGGCACTCCCCCGGCGCTGAGCCTCGACCCCGTCGGCCCGGCGCGCATGTCCGTTGGTGCCGGGATGTTCGCCTGAAACAGGAGCCAGGACTCCTGTTCGCGAAGCGAACGACGGCCGAAGCCGTTGGCCGCCGCCTCGTCTCCAGGGTAGCGTTCCGCCATGGCGACGTGCTCGGGAGAGGTAGAAAGATAGGGGGAGGGGCTGGGCGGCGGCGCTCGGAGAGGTAGGGAAAATGAGGAGCTGGGCGGCGGCGAGGGGCGGGGCTGGTGTGGGCACAGGCAAGTGCAGGCCACCGGCTATATAGCCGCGCCGCACCCCTGTGTACGCGTGCGAGGGAGGGGAGGCGTCGGCGCGCCGTCCCGTGACGCGCCGCCCATGAGGAATCAATGGCAAGGCTGACCGGCGGCAGCCTTGGCATTGATTCCCCGCGGGAACCGAGGCCGTTGGGGGAAAACGAGGCGCCGTGTCGCTGACGCGGCGGGCCCGCGGCTATTTCGCGCCAAAACAGTTCGCCCCGGCGCCCCCGGGCGCCCCCCAGCACGCCGAGTTCGGCTTGGGTCCGCCGGTGCTGTTTTCGGCCCAGGCCGGCGAAAATCAGGCCCCTGGGGACGCGACTGGGCTGTTTTTTTGGCGCCGGCGCAAAAAAATCGTCTGAGGAGGCTTTCCTGGGGGCACGGCTGAAGATACCCTAATACTAGATAGCATGTGGTTGTCTTGTTCCTTCCACTCCACAACCCTTTCAAGCGAGCAATTGCTTCACCAGATACAAGTTACAACTGGTGATATCAGCGACAGTGAGGCCTCATTTGGTTTCAAGGGCCGATTACCCCAGGGCTCTAATCCCCCTCGGGGGGATTTCCATGCCCTCTCCCACACCACGGGGAGATTACCATGCCAGTTTGGTTAATAGGGGGAGGGGTGGAGATCACGTCCAGAAAAAGGTTAAACAAAATTGTAATATTCAGGAATCATGAAAATGACTCGGTTTCTTTACAGAAACATCATACCAATTCAGAAGTAATCAAAATTTATGTATATTTCCTTGAAAAAAATTTCAGGAATGACACAAAGTACTAGATAATAATTCACGAATTTTAAGGAAAAAACATGAAACACACAGGTAATCAGCAAAATAACACTTCAACCCACTGACAGACGCTAACCACAAGTTATACATATCGATTCACACAAATAACATAGCACTACAGAGGTGTGCTAATCATGGTTTTAACAACAAAAATACAAACTACGGCTAGAAATCCAGCAATGATAAGCATTTTGTTCCATAAAAAATGCCCATGTGTGACTGATCCATAGCAAAATGTTTGTTGTTGAAATAGTTACTCTACTAAAACTTCCACCATCAACTTCTTTGAACATTTTTATCGGATAGCTTTAGTAAACCTGCAAAACAAGAAAGAACAGTGTTGTTACTACACAATATCACGTTTAAAACTATATATAAGCACATATTTTTATTTACATGCATGTTTCACAAAGAAACAGATGCACACATAATAAAATGTTGTCCTCTCTGACAATAATCTACTGGAAAACTCGAAACCTTAACAATACATTGATTCATGTTTTCGTTGCTTTGTCACTAATACACGTTTTTCAAATCAAACTTGAAGCTAAGACAACAACAGATCAATTCAATGGTGTATGAATAAAGTCAAAATGGACAGAGATGATGAACTGAAAAAAACACTTCGGTTCATAGAGTTTAAATCCAAAGCAATTATCAAGATTACATATGCTCAACCCACAGTTCTTTAGCTTGGTACAAAACGGAAGAACTTGAATGATTAATGTTCAACGTTGTCAATGGTTAGAGTTAAACTGAATAGTTAGCTTGATACTAATGCTACCTTTATCAATGGAATTAAATTCCAACAAGTATTATAGGAAAGATAAGCATACTTCAGGTTATCTTGAAGATTCTAAGTTAAAATTAGGACAAGGCTAATACAGGCTGACTAGTCCCTTCCATATGTGATTTTTAGATTAAGTTTACTGACAGAAGCAAATTATATTAAGGTCATAGTTTCAGAGAACTAACCAAGAAACACATGGACCAACTAGCAATTCTACAAGGGGAAAGGTCACAAGATCTGGTATATAATCCAGAACAGAGGTGCCACAAAGTCAATAATGCCACAAAGTAAATAAATATAAAATGGATGATGTGCAAAACAAGAAGGTGAACTGCTTACACACCTTATGCTATCTACATCTCAGAAATCTCCTCCTTCAACCAATAAAGTCGAAGATTTGAGTCCTTGGTATTGATGAATATTTCTCGATTCATTGGGCATTTGAAAAGCCGCAGTGCCTTTGCTTTTTCTGCAACTGATAAATCTTCCATTGGTTCTAGCGCAGCCACACAGTTTCCAATCGAGAAAATGTCATCTTGCTTTGATTCCTTCAACTCGTCAACCAGTTTTGCAGACTGTTTCTTCCGAAAATCCATGTAATCCTCAAGTACAACAGCGATCTGACTTTGCTTCCTCTTTTTCACAGGCAGTGCTCCCTTTTGTTTAGAGTTGGTAGATGTTGTAGCTTCAGGTTCATCTCTTCTTGATGCCCCTTGCCCTTGTAGATCAGATGAGGACATACCATCATCAACATTGGTAGAGGAGATATAGTTCAAATCATTAGTAGAGGAATCCATAGGAGAAATGGCATCGCTTGTGAGATCCACTTGCGGAATTGATACAAAGTTCAAGTCTCCTGAAGCAATACTTCCTGCTCCAAAGAAAAAGAAACATATCAGCATGTTCTCTTAGAAACATGAAAAAATACAAGTATCTCAACAATCTCACAAATACTATATAATTAAAGCAAGAATGAAAAGGATTTAATATGTAGGGTCGACGGAAATACATGATACAGGAAACACACCTTCATGTAGTGTAGCCAATGACTTGAAGAGCATGAATGGTTTTGAACGGAACTTCTTTACCCTTAGATTATCCTATTGAATGCAACAACATTGTATGGTTGGGATCAATAAAACAATGCCTTGAAGAGCATGAATGGAAGTGAACAAACAATATATCAAGAAAAGAGCTAACCTTGATAAGTTTATCCCATATTACAGGTTCAGCGATGATCATGCAAAGTGTATCATCCCATCCCGTGCCACTCTGTTTCCGAGAGTCTCTCACTGCCTTATAATTTCCTTTTAAATCCTTATCCTTCTCTTGGATTTGTTGCTTGGTGAAATGAGCTAGTGGAAATTTCTGATTGAATGCATTTGTAATTCTAGTCCACCCTTCAGCAGTCCACCCATTTTGACCTCGATAAATGGGATTGTTGTGGTCAAGCATTATATCAACAAGACCTTTCTCGTATGCATGGTCCCAAGATGCCCTAGGCGCTGCCATAGCTACATTATTGAACCAACAATGGGGTACTAGTTAAATTTCACTCTACCACTACTTTACCTAAGAAAAGGTGAGAAAAAAATTACAAAATAAACTCATGCCCGACTAGTTGTTATAATCAGCCCACATTTGCATCGCGATCTGATCTCTAAGAGTGTTTCCATCGTTTGCCTCATTGTGATGATGTTGGTTGACATCATCTCCCTCTGGAACATCAACATATGTTTCTGGTGGAATTAACGGTGGTTGGTGATCCAACCATGCCTCATCACCACTTTGAGCTCTAATGATGTTATGGAATACAGCACATGCTGCCGGAATC